TTGTGAATACTAACTGTCACAGTTACTTGTGCTCTCAACAAAAATGTCAAGCCATCAAATGGGTGATGTCATAACTGATAACATGCAGCACCAGGGCAACTGCAAAACAAGGCTAAGATGGCAACTTTGTTGGCTGTAATAGAATGGTTCAGCTCCTCTTTAAGGTAAATTTTGACATCAACTAATCTGCTAAGAAAACATAGATTACACGGAGAAGCCATGACAATTTTATCACTAGGGAAATGAGCATTTTCTGAGGCTGACTGTATCTCATTTAAATATCTACACATGCTTAGAAACACTCCAGTATGTACAAACAGAAATACAGGGAATTCCATTGCTGTGAAAATGCTAGATAGCCAACTGCTCCTCCCTCTCCCTATATAAGTACTGTTGCATGAGGGATGACAAAGTCAGATTCAGGTATGCTGGCTGTATGTTTTTTTTTACATCTGCCACTAGGAATTGTAAATATGATTGCAAGCAATAGTCAGAAACTAAGCAACTTGTTGAATAGCTACAATCTGGTCAATTGTAAAACTGGTTAGTAAACTGACAACTTCAATACAGTTTATTAAAATCAGAATGGGAAAAAATCTATGATTATTACACTGTGTACAGTTGGGACAACTTGAGTCCCATCTCCTTGCAGGCCATCAAACCACCATTTTATAAAAATTATGATCCAACTCACCAGAGATTAACAAAATGAAATAGTTAATTTTTTTCGGTTGATATTGTGTTGTCAGATTGCATTTAGATATGTTTACTGCGCTCATGAGCTGGACTAGACCTACTATAAAGAGTCTGCATTCAAGTACATGTTCTGTGTTTAGCACCTCCATGTATGTAAATAAAACATTTGTTAACTCGAAATAATATGTGCTACCTTTGCTGATCTACTTCTAAAAAATTTTTAGTTGATTGACTTTTACGCTGGCTTATTAATCTTAATACTGATTCGCAGACTTGGAGAAGGTATGTAGCTTGTTCTGAGCTACTGAAAAGCTGCTAAAAGTGTAGAAATGACCATAGATGGATCAAAATTCAGCCAGTTCAGTAGGAACTGGACGAATTGTGATCCACCTATAGGCAGGCTGGTTGTACTGAAGTCAATCTATTGATCAACTGCCACTGGCTATAGCCACCAGAAGTGATCATTGTATTCTGACAGTGGGGAAACCTCCTGCTGTCAGAATACAATAGACAGTAGGAAGGATTACCCCCACCAACACTGACTGTGTTGATGGGGGAATTGAGTGATTTTCTTTCCTTCAACCCATGGTTGAATTAAAGGAAAATGCATAATCTATAGTCTTCCTAAGAAGGTCAGAAGGACATGCAGTCAGTTAGCAGTTTCAGAAGGATAGGTAACCATTGGTTGCTTTAAAACCTCCATCTTGTCAATTTCCTTTAGAGCCGTATGTATGTAGTAGCTTTGACACAAGTGAACAGGCTTAAAAAGAGATGCAGCAAATACTAGAACAAAAAACGAAATAACCTTCTCCTCTAATATGCCCCTATTTTAAATAGAAGCTTTATTTCACCATCATTGCAGATGATGTCATGGACTTTAATTTGCAAATTCTACATCCCTGTTTTCAGTTCTCTGTTCTATTGGTCTGCTAGTCATTTACTCAATCATCAAGCCTTAATTTAATAAAATGCTGAATGTGTAACATATTTAAAATAACTGAGCAGTCCTTCAGTGGCCTATAGAAGACCACAGAAACAAATAAGGTTATACAATACAAGTGATCATTTAACAGTTGAACTACAGGCACACAAAATACTGTGGAGGCTGGAACCCATGATGCAGGACATTTTCATAAATCAGAAAGATGGCACTGTATAGTGCTGCCTCCTAAACAATAATAAGGAAATTGCTTGACATCCACTGAATCCTGGATGTGCACATACCATAAAAAATGATTTTTTTGAGAATCTGATTATTTCATAAGGTTAGACTCATTTGTGTATGATTGACTTATGTTTTATGCTGTCTAAAGATCACTGCTGTATGTGAAGCTGGGCATACGCATAATCCTACTATCACCTACAGTATATTTATTATGTATTTCTTGTTGAGCTAGGATCTCACTGGAATGTGATAATATATAATGAGTATATCATAATATGTTGTGCATGTAATAAAACCACCAGGGAATGCTAGAATTGGAGAAGTTTGGATCAACTGTCTGATGCTGTGGATAGTCATGCAATCATCATATCCTTTTGAGCACACTTTATCTATACTCATAAGACGTTTTTTCATGTCTATGAAAGTGATAGCTGAACAGAGGTGAGAGGTGTGATGAATTATAGGTACTTTCCTCGCACTCTTGCAGCCACCAGAATGCTTTAAAATGCAAGTAAGTTAAAACATGAAAATGGCTTAGAAAACTCCCCTGCGTAATTGTTAGGCAGGGGAGTATCTCTATTTCCTCACATCCAAAGTTCTAGTGTTTCCAGCTGTAGATTAAGTCAATGAGGAAAACTGGGAGGGCCTGACTATAATGCCTCTTAGAAAACAAACCTGTCGACTTGGATAAGATTGCCAAAGTTCGGGTTAACTTTTAATTTACTCCTGTAAACCTTTTCAATAAATAACATTACCAATTGCACATTAAAAAAAATAATAATTGAATGAATGTTTTTTTAAATTTTTTTTAATGAACAAATTGTTTTTCATGGTGGATCTTTGTTTATTTTTTTAGTCTGCATCCCCTTATTCCAGTTTATGTTTTTTTTAAGGAGGTTGATGCTTTGGTGCCAAGATGGGAAACTAACTACATCTTTTTTCCCCTTTATGGGTATTAATTCCCATATAGACCTGCTCAAACCTCAGGTAAAGTTCCTCAATGGAGTTAGTGAGTGCCATTGAGATCATTTATTTATCTCATGGGGGCTATAAGTAACATCACCAATATATATAAGGGTGGTTTGAGTGCCTGTTTTGTGTTATTTATGTAATCAGTATATTTCCTGCCAAGTTCTAGCATTCCATTAAGTCTATGTGGGACCTACTAAATCCACCCTATATAATCTCGTTATACACTACAGTGAGTATACTATATGAATGTTGCTTACATAAGTGGTTTAATCGTAATTATGAATTCTTTCATTGCCCTTTAGGACCCTATGATGTCCACCTTTATTAAATTCCCAGTTGAGTCTCAGGAGCTAAGTCTATTTCAGTCCACCATTAATGGATAAATGCTTTAAAATGTACGTGTATTCATGTATTTGGATACTTATTGGCCAGATTATGATTTATATATATTTTTGGTAATTATTAGCATCCATGATTTTGTTTTCACTAGCTTCCACTTGCCAAGGGATCACTAGTGTTTCCTTATGCTCCATGGACGCTGGAGGAGTTCCGTGAAAAGATTGTTTTTTAAGCTGACAATTGGTTATGTAAATCAATTTGGATATATGAGAAGGATTGTTTATTATGTAAATATTAGTTTGTCTATACTGTTTATATCAATCTATCTTATTCTATAGAAGCTTCTGCTGTATCCTTCTTGTATTCTTATTCTTGTTGTTTTTCCCTGAAAAAGATTCTAATTGTGAATTGAAACACCTAGGGAGATTTTTGGAGATAATTCTCCTGGGTACAGATAAAGTAGTGTCCATTGTTATTGACATCACTGTACATACCATGTTGTCACTTTATGTATGGCATTTGTTTTAACTATTTTAATGAGATAAGAATAAATAAAATTATATTTTAACAGTTGCTGCTTTAACTATATATAGTGCCGTTAAAAGTCCTCTTTCCAAGGAAGTATGCTTGTATTCATCATAGGGATGTGGCACCACATGTATCTGGGTTTGAAGATTAGTAGTTAGAGAATAAATAAAATAATATATTTTTTAACAGTACCTGCAAATGCCACTCATAATTGTTGATATACAAGAGGCAAGGGAAGTTGTACTTTGCATAGGAATTTCCCCTAATAGTGAATAAGGTGAAGCTCTGCCGACTTCTATTATCCAGTCATGTGCAAGCAAAAATGATGTTTTTTTTATTTCCCTTGCATTTCTTTGCAAAGCAAAGTCTCACCACATTTCTAAGCTCTCCCATGAAACTTTCCTTTTTCAAAGGGCAACCTCCCTTGCAAAGTGAACAGGCCATATGACTTTTGTACTGAAATAGAAATGTACACTTATGTCTGGTTTCTAAAAATTTCATTTTTGGCCAATTTAGCTGTTCTGGATTATTTTTATACAGGTCATAGGTTATTTTTGTAATGTGTGTTCTAATTGCAACTTGCCTCTACACCAACCCTAGTGTGTCTTTCTAAAAAAATGTTTTTCCTTAGGGGTTATTTAATTCACTAATGCAAATACTTATACTGATACGACTAACAGTGATTGCGTATATCAATATTAAAATGTATTTCCACCATAAACATGTATAGTGGATCTTACTTCTCTTGCTTGCTGGTATTAAAATATGTTAATATATTTTAATGTTTTGTATTGCCAATGTGTAATAAGGCTACAATGTTTTTTGCTATTGGTGACTTATTATTTCATTGTCTATAGCTGGTAGTTTCTTCAACTATATATTGTAAATGTGATTGGTACAGGATGCTGTTTAACCACTTCCCGCCCGCCATATAGTAATATGATGGGCGCAAGGTGGTTCTCTCGTTCTGGGAGGACATCATATGATGTCCTCCCATTCTCACTGCGCATGCCCGGCTCAGGGAGCGCACAGCACGGCAATCGGCAGTGTGCTGTGTCCCTCGGACACAGCGGATCACCGATCACGGAAAGAGCCGAAGATGTCGGCTCGGTCATGTGATCAGCTGTGTCCAATCACAGCTGATCACATGTAAACAGGGAAATGCCAGTTATTGGCATTTCTCTCCTCTCGAGCTGTCATGCTGACAGCTCGAGAGGAGAGGAGAGCCGGTAATCGGCTTTCTGTGGAGGGGACATGTACACTGATCATCAGGGATCTAATGATCAGTGTGCCCTAATGATCACTGTAGCCCCAGCAGTGCCACCTGTCAGTGTCCATCAGTGCCTTATGTCAGTGTCTCGTGCCAGTGCCACATATCAGTGCCTACCAGTGCACATCAATGCCACATATCAGTGCCCGTCTGAGCTGCCTTTCAGTGTCACCCATCAGTGCCAGTCAGTGCCACCTATCAGTGCCGCCAATCAGGGCCACCTATCAGTGCCAGTCAGTGCCGCCTATCAGTACCAGTCAGTGCTGCCTATCAGTGCTGCCTATCACTGCCTGTCAGTGCTGCCTAACAGTGCCAGTCAGTGCTGCCTATCAGTGCCAGTCAGTGCTGCCTATTAGTGCCAGTCCGTGCTGCCTATCAGTGATGCCTATCAGTGCCATATATCAGTGCCATGTATCAGTACTGCCTTTCAGTGCCCATCAGTGATGCCTGTCAATGCCCATCAGTGCCACCTACCAGTACCTCCTCATCAGTGCCCATCAGTGCCACCTATCAGTGTCCATCAGTGCAGCCTATCAGTGCCCATCAGTGCAGCCTCATTAGCGCACATCAGTGAAGGAGAAAAATCACTTATTTACAAAATGTTATAACAAAAACTAAGAAAAAACATTTTTTTTTTTAATTTTTCAGTGGTTTTTGGTTTGTTTAAGAAAAAAAAAACCCAGAGGTGATTAAATACCACCAAAATAAAGCTCTATCTGTCACAAAAAAAATGATGAAAATTTAATATGGGTACAGTGTTGTTTGACCGTGCAATTGTCATTCAAAGTGCGACAGCGCTGAAAGCTGGAAATTGGCCTGGGCAGGAAGGGGGTATAAGTGCCCTGTAGACTAGCTGTTAAAGTGTGTAAATGTGAGAAGCAACTTGCATCATCTATATCCAAGGTAATATTAGTTCATCATACATGACCTAAACAACTGAAGGCTGTCCTATATTCACATGAACAAGAAGAGACTTGGGAACATGTCATAACATGTAGCCAGAAATGGTGTCAGGTTGTCAATGTTTCAAACAGATTAATGCAAGGAAGGATTATTGGCTTGGCTTGGTACTATATGTGAACATTTCAGGCAATATAATAAATACTAATTAAATGATGAGTCAGGTCAAAATATACCCATACATCTTTAGTGACTTTTTTTTTAATGAAACCAAGCATGGTAAATTGTAGGTACACCACAAGCCAATGTGTTGATCTAGCATAGTAATATGTTACAAAACCAACCATACCAGTACAGGAAATCCCATTCCTGAGTTCTATCTAACAGAACTGGTAATACATTTGTAATTTCTACTTTCATAGTAATCAGATCTTTGAACCAAATGTATGTACTAATGTGCTAATTGAAATGTACTCTTAGCTAGATCCATACTTATGCTGGCTTGTTCAAAGAAATCATAACCGTACAGTTCCTATACAGTATAACAAGTAATCTGTACTGTTTAGGCTTAGATGACAGTCGTACTTTTAGTATTGTTATCATTTGACTGCCCTTCCCCTGCAGAACCCCTCTCCAAAGTCTTAAGCCAGACATACATGGATTGAAATTCAGCCAGTTCAGGAGGCACTCCCTGCTCAGCTATTTCCCCATTGAATGTGTGGATGGGAATATCAGTTTATTTGTCTTATTTATGTCTTTTCTGTTGTTTAACCATTGGTTAAACAGAACAATAAAGATCTTGGCTATAAGGCCTGCTGAGAGCCCCAAAAAGCACAGTATCCCTGCTTTACAGCTTCTTCTGCACATATGTAGAAAAACAGCTTGTCCTCATTTGGAGAGGCTAATTATTATACATCCCAACAGCGGATAACCTCTCTTAATTCAGAAATTTACTAAAATAATTAGGCAATGTAACATTTAAAAGCTAACTCAGGGAAAAGTCGATTTTGTACATATCTGATCCTCCACTGGCTCAGCAAAAGGGATTCTCCTATGCTCCAACAGTGGACTGTCCCTTAACATGCTCACATCCAATAAGGGGCTATGGTCCCTACATTGGTGTTGATGATGTCTAAAGGCATTCAACTGCCAGAGAGCTGAGGATAGGAGTTTGCAGAAGCTGTTCTTGCAGCATGGAGGACCCTACAGGAGTGGAAGATTGGGTAAGTAAAACTGCTTTCCCCAGTCCCCTAGACATAAACAAGTAGCCAACCTTCACAGTGCATGCACAGCTCTACTGCAAGGGAGGACTTTAACTTTTCCTGGATTTCAGCATTAAATTGCACATCTAGGACAACTAAGGGCTGCCTTATGTTTACAAAGGATGGGTACATGGAGCAAACAGAGTGTCACTTGCTTAGTCACATTGCTTTGAAATGTATATGGGTGATGCACTGGTAGAGCGGTAGTCACGAAGTACTAAAAAAAACTACCAGCAACCAGAAAGAAGGACTTGTCTATTCTTTTCTTGCTACCTTGCTGATTAACATAGGTCTACAGGACACAAAGGCATCTTTATGCCATTAAATCTGCACATATATTTGCAAATGGTTGTAAAGATAAAAATAATGCTGTATGTAAAACATAGCATACATCACAAAACATAAATCATTCTGCAAAGAAAAGACTAAACAAACAAAATATCACATGCATGTACAGAAGACAAGAGTGTGGCTTACCTATGTCTTCGTTTCTTGGAGGAAGACCTAGAAAGATTGGGAACAATCAGGATTCATGAACTTGTTTTCAAGTATGGCAGAGATTAATTTCACATATACTTTCTGTCAGATTTAAAATTTACACATGCCAAAGATATGTATTGCATTGAATGGAAACAACTACGTGAAGTTAATTGGATTTCCCACTTTCTGCTTCAGGGTCTTTTTTGCACCCCCCCCCCTTCCACACACAGAATCTTGACTGCACTGTTTTTATTGCTATAGCTGACAGAATTAATCAGTTTAGATAAACAAGTGCTATATCTGGCCCTTAAAAATCAGTGGGTGCAGATAACAGAACCCTTCATTTTAGTATATGTTGGGAGCTCAGTCTCTTCCATAAATAGGTTTTGCTTTCATAGAGTTACACATCCAAACACCTGAATTTCTCCATGGAAACTGCTGTTGAGAGCTGCTTGAGTATACAAGTAGTCCCTAAAGTCTAGACACAGGAAAATTTAATCTGGGGAGAGAAAACATATAGTTAGTGATATTTGCTATGTGTCCAGACTTTAGGGATACCCTGTACATTTTTCTCATAGTAAATTGAAGGATGTCTTACAGAAGTGAGGTCTTACGAACCTCAGTTTCTCAGGTCTCTGCAGTCAGATAACAAAATATTCCATATTAGTCCATAATTTTCTTTTGGTATTATTTGAAATAGTAAAATATATTTTACAGCCAGCATATTAATATTTATGATGACTGTATGCATGTGTTTATGCTGCCATAGGAGCTCAAAGTCTACCTAGCTAAAAACATTTCTATATCCTACACTGCACCCCATACACATTCATTTGCCCAGTGTTGCTCTGAAGTGCACATGTATGCTGATCATTGCAAGAACTTAAATCTCTGAATCCGTTGAAAATATCCCTGTTTTCCTGAATACACATTGGTAAACTGGTGTGAATATACTTTTGGAATGCCTCATTCAGTTGAAACTGGCTGCCAGTGGATGGGGCTTTAGTCTTATGTAAATGGATGAATGCAGCATGCTTTTAGGCACATTCAGCTTGTATTTAACATCAGTTTGAAATGTTTCTGAGATCATTAAGAGGTGCAGCAGTTGCTTTGGCTGCTTTTGCATTCCCATAGACCTGTGTGGGGAAGGAAGCAGTTTTGACATGGACAAAAGCCCATCAACACTGGCTCATGACGATAACCATGATGAAATGGTTAAAGTGTGAGTTCACCTTTTCTCAAAAAAATAAAAGGTGAACACCCTACACTCTCCCCACCCCTAATGCACTTACCTCTATGGGTGATCAGCTGTCCCTGCCCATGCAGCAATTCTGATTGGTCATGCACTGGCATGCGACCACCTTGACCAATCAGATTCCCTCTGATGCACAGTGACAGCTAATCACCTATGGAAGTAAATGCAGTAAATGGACTGGGGGGTTGGGAAGGGTGTAGAGTGTTCAACTTTTCAGGAAATAGTTATATAATTGGAAAAAAAATGTTACTGGGTTTTCCCTGATGAAGTCTTTGCAAACAAAACACGTTGGGTATTATTCAGTGACTAACCAAATGATTGGTCGTTTTTAAGTCATGGAGTGCCTTTGGTCCACACTAATGTTACTAACTCAGACTTGGAACTGTAGATGTTTAAATGTGTATTTGATTCTTCTTCTGCTTAAAGGGTAAGGTTATTATTAGAGAAGACAATCCATGCCCAGTACACTGCACTAGCAGCTCTGGAGCCTGAAAGTATCATAATGCTTGCAACGGCCATGGTCACCTGCCTGGACTGACCACTGACTGCTCACCCATTGCGAGCATTATGATGCTTACAGGCTCCAGGGATGCTACTGCATGTTACAGTGTGCAGAGTGGTTTCTGTAAAAGTAAACTTTCCTTTTTACGTGGTCAGGGCCTCTCTCTCTTTTTTCTGTAATCTTTATCTCTTGCTGCTAAACACAATCCTGTTGTGTTAAGTTATTCTACTCACACATGAGACCTGTCACCTAAGCAAGAGATGTATAAACTGCTAAAGACTATACCACTATTATACATATTTACTCTTTGGTTTCAACATACTGTGGGAAGAAAGAGTATTTCTTTCTTTAGTGAAACATTTATTAAACAAGCTGATTTCATTTTCTAGGTCTTAGATGCAACACTGTTGCATCTAGTTTTAACCTTTCTCCAAAGAAAAGCCAATTCTGACTGTGAAACTGCAGGTCAGTAGTCAATTAATAGGTATATGTTTGGATTTGCTTCAGGAAAGGAGAACATATAAATCCCATGTATAAAGAGCCACCTCTTAAAAATCTTACTTGATTTTTGTATAAAAGTGGTGTTCTCAAGTTTAATGAACACTCCTAATATACTGATAACCTTAAAACGTTTAATACATATTTAGCTGCCCAGCATGGAAGACAATGAGTGCAGGAATTACATTGCTAAAGCTACTGGCATTACATCTCACCAGCAACAGTGTATTATATATTTTATCTATTGGACAGCTGCCAGGTATAAAAAGAGAGAGTTACTCTACCATTCTGATAACAGCAACAAAAACCTAAACCTAAAAGTGTTTGTAACTCTATGCAAAACTAGAACAAGGTTTTGGCCACGGTTCCAATTTTAAAGGATCCCATGACATAGTAAATTAGTGTTATACCTGTTTCTCTTCCGCTTCTTGGAACTCTTCTTTTTCTTCTTTTTCACTGGGGAAGGATTATAGGACTGAGACCTAAAGATCAAGGTATATTGAAAAATATTTATTATTTATGCACCAAAAATACAATTTATCAGAAACTCTATTTAGAAATTGTGTCTACTGCTCATTTAAGAAAAAAAAAAAATTTTTTGCAATGTTATAAGTAAAGGTGATTGGGACTAGGATCATTTACAACCAGCAATGATTTGTGAGTAAAACCAAATTAAGCACTCCCGTTCCTTCTTTTCATATGGAAAAACAA